GTCCGGCCGATCCCTCTTTTGTCCTTCCGGGTGTTCGACTTGCCTCTGCCGGGCACGACAGCTTTGTTTATTACGACGTTGCTTCTGTTTCTGCTTCTCCTATTGAGAAAACAAAACAGTAAGAATGCACATGTATGCAATTATGTGTGTATATATATGTATACAAATATACATACACATACATATGCATTTATTGATTTGTTTATTTAAACCACCACCACCACCACCACCACCACCATCGCTGCCAAGCTTGTCTCGAGGATTCCTTATTACTGGCGCAGACCTTTCGCATGGGGGGAGAACAAATACTGAGTTGGAAATTTCTTTGGGGTACCGAGTTGACAAGGAGTTGTGTACGAGAAAGATCCCGGAGAAAGGAACTTTCGTGTAGAACTTCCGAATTGGCAGATTTGTGAGGGCTGTTAGTTGGCAGGAAAGGGTTCGGCGGGGTACTGGAAAAGATGGGGATTCGGGGTGTAGAAGATTTGTGGGCCTCAGGAGTTTGAAGGCCTTCGCGTGGGGGAGGTGTGGGGGAGCTCGGATTGTCCATTTCGCGCAGCGGGGCTCGTCAACGTGTGCAACCAGATTCGGAGGCCCAGAAGTTTAAGTGCGAAATGACCTCAGCGCTCAAGGAATCAACCGCCTGGGGCCAAGCACCGTCCGCTTCACGCCTAAAGGCTTAAGGTTGGAGTTTAAGGTTTACAAGTTGACAGAGTTTGGAGGTGATTATTTTGGGTTGAGTCTGCCAGCTCCCCTTGCTGAAGTCTCCCTGGGCCCTAAACCTGTCACAAAGGCTGTCATCTCAAGACGCTAAGCCCTCTCCCCAAACCAGAAACACTCTAAACCACTTGGGTCGAAGTCGAATTTGGCCAAATCCCTCTCTCTCTCCCTCTCTCCCTCTCTCGCTCTCTCTCTCTCTCTCTCTCTCTCTCTCTCTCTCTCTCTCTCTCTCTCTCTCTCTCTCTCTCTCTCTCTCTCTCTCTCTCTCTCTCTCTTCTTCCCCGGGGCAGAAGGGGGTCTGAAGCCCCTCGGCCTTGAAGGCTCCCCCGATGTTTGTGGGGCTTTTGGAGGAGCGTGAAAAGGTGAATGTTTTCCCCTGGTTCCTAAGGTTTAGCAGTGTATTCAAACCTAAATCTCTCTCTCTCTCTCTCTCTCTCTTTCATTCTTTCACCAGGCTCTCTATCTCTCTCTATCTCTCTCTCTGTCGCTGTCTCGGGGTCTAACAAGCCCCTGAGCTTCTTGCCTGTTGTCCGTAATTGTATACGGCTTCGAGCGGTGGACGTCCGAAGGGTTGCAGTCCGACTTATTCAACCAAGCTCGCCGGTGCTCGCAAAGGCATGAGGAGCTTAAACATTGGAACGGCGCAGAGCACCCTTTCCAGGGAAGCTGAAGGCACCCATGCATATGATGGCAAGGTCGGGTTCCATAAGTCCGCAGAGTATGGGGAAAGAAGCAATAGGTCTAGTAAACGAGACGGTGCTTCTTTCGGGTGTCCTGCGCAAGCCCCGTCAATGCATGAGGGATGGTGAAGTGGGCTCAAAGCCTTCAGGTCTTGCAGTTTGGGGCGGCACGCTTCTGCTTCTGGGTTTATAGCCTTTAACCCCTCGAGGTATGGGGTTTAGGGTGCCACGCCTCTTATTCTTGTAAGTTGCACTGTTTATGAAACCCCTCGCAGAGTCACGGCTCTGAGATCAAGAGAAAAGAGAGGTAGTCAACAAAGAAGAGTATCTTAAGAAAGAAACAGAATCACAGACCTTGCAGCGACGTTGTGGTTACGTCCTGTCAAGCCTTCGCTCTGTCAGTCTCTCAAACTTAGCACATGGCTGCAACTGGGAGATTTGAACTGCAGGATTCAGGGTTCACTGCTTGTCGGCCCACCATCCCATGCCATACCTACCAGTCCCTATACCACGCCAGCTTCTGCTTGGCGGAGAAGCTACCGGCTGTACAGGTGTCCGACAATATTTTCGTTCCTCGGACTCCTTCCCACGACAGGAGTGTCCGCATGAAAATCTGTGCTGCGGCCCTGTTGCGGGCCTCCGACCTCAGGTCATTGGGACTAAGGCGGCGTGATAGTTACCATGACGACAGCCTATGGCTAAGCTACCCAGGCTCACGGACAGTATTGGGAAGTACTGTTGCTGACCAGAATTACCCATTTAGATGTACCCATATCCGCCGGTGCACAAGGCACCGTCAATTCGACCGCTACACCCTAGAGACCATTTGCAACGATGGGCCGACCCCACACGGCAGAAGCTTTGCGAGAACACATGAGGACACCCTGGAACTGTAAGGCAAAAGAAAAACTTCCATGGGGTGACAACAAAACTCCAAGATAGCCTGCCTGAAAAGCTTAGTTCGAAAGCCTTCTCTCCGGTGGATAGAGGCAATACATGGCAATAGCAATACCGTCCATCCCCGCAGTTGCTCTGATTGCACAGGCTGGGACCGGCTTGCGGAGACCCCTCCCAGCTGCCAGGAGCCGAATGGAACTGCGACTGCCCACAACAAACTGATAAAACCACAACCCCAAAGCCACTTTGTGGTTCGCGCTTCTTTGGTTTCGCGACGGCTTTCGTAGCATGGCACAGGGATGATAAGGTTACGGAAATCTCTATTCTCATCCAAGCCGAGCACCTGGCCAAGCTCAAAATCAGGAAGATTTTTGTGAGAGGGCCTTCTTCAACAGCGCGATGAAGCGGATGTTCTGCAGCTTCTCGCCCCGAAGGACCTTGTGACAGATTCTCGAATATTTGTAGAGGCAGACAAGCTCGAAACTCACAGCTCTAGACGCTTGGATGCGTGCTAAAGCCCGTCAACCTAGCGCGCCAGATTTTGCAATATTTCTGAAGAAATCCTGCCGACGTCATGTGCCTCATAGAATGCAAGGTGGTGCGAGCAGCTTCAATAATTGTCAGCGGCTTTGATTGCTGATTCCACGAAGATGACTAATGATGATGCATTTTGTAGGTTACTCCTGTGTATTGCGACTATCACGTGGCCAGACGCGGACATGATTCGGATAAGAGAGGTAGCAGCATCACAAGTCTTGGCAATGTACTGCAATAGTCGTCCTCCTGGTCGTCGTCGTGGTCGTGATTGTGGTCGTCGTCCTGGTGGTCGTAATATGTCGTAATCGTCGTCGTCGTCGCAGTGGTGGTGGTGTTATGGTTGTGCCCAAACATCAGAGAAACGAGCGCCCGAATCATGTATCGCACCACCCCACTACAATCTATCTGTAGCAGGTCTTGTTACTCCAGGTTGGTGCGATGTGGAGAAGGCAGACCGACGGGTGAGATTCCCTGACACCATCTAAAAATCTTTCCATAAGGAACCGGTAGGGGAAGCAGTTGAAATGATAGTGCTGCAAAATGGCATTTCAGGAAAAGTAGAGGTCTCTTCTTAACGGCCCGCACTTGGAAGAATCCACTAATTCGGCTTCTGTGTTACGGTCCCTTATAAATCATCTTCTACATTCCATATGGCGCGGCCAGGCTGCAGCTAACCGCTCTTTCCAGTGCGATTCCTCGGTCCCGTTCGGCTGGCATACAGGGGTTCGACTGCACTAGGAAAAACACTTCATGACCACACCCGAAGCCCAGAGTTCTGGGTGCCTAACCACAAGCCCCAAGCTAGAGGCTCTAACAGGCTGACAGCTTCATGCTTCGAAGCCTGTCACATGAACAGGATAACTGCCGAGGCCCCTTCACCCGAGACACTTCGAAAAGCTCGTCCCAAGCCCTGAATGCTAAACCCTAAACTCTGGACTCAGAACCCCGAAACCCTTAAGGTATCGAATTCTGGCCTCGGTAAACTCCAGACCTGCACCTGAACCCTCGGCTTGTCAATCCTGGAAGCCCCAACATTGATGCCAACACGCCGCCTCACAACTTATGATCATGGGGCTACAGATCGTGGTAAAAGGCTGACCTTCATCAATCATAACTGTCACCTCAGAAACACTACAAGAGAGCTACTACCAAACAGCGGTGTTGACGAAAGCCTGGTAAGACTGGTCAGACCAATACTGCGAATCAAGACCGTGGCAGCACGAAACCGGTCATAAGATATAGACGTAAAAGCTGACACCCAATGGTTCGCATGAATGCTCATGTCGTCCTGCACCCAAACAACTAAGCCGAAAACACAAGAGATAACCATTGAAACCCTCAAACCCCGAAAGGTCTAGCAGCCCCCAGATCCGAAAGCAAGGCACGTGGTGGATGTTCGCAATCAGCTGCTCCCGGAGCCTCTTCGTCTTTCGATCATAAGCAAAGCACAGCCAAAAAGTTCTGAGAGGCAAATTAAAGGGTCCCTTATCATTATGCTGACGTGAAGTATAGTCTGCCATACGGGCCATACGGGTACACGGCTCTTCGCGGGGGGCTTTGTGAATGAATCCGGGCTTTCGGGCTCGGGGCCAGTCTTGCTCGTACAGCGCCTCTCGCTTCGGGCATGGAGAAGACAGTGGAAATGGTGCTTCGATTGTGGTCTTTTGTCTGCTGATGGTAAGTGCCCCACTAGTAACCGGAAAACATTCGATTCAAGCATCGCTGTTGTCTTCTGCTTCGGCTTTCCTTCAAATACAGGTCATCGAAACATCCAGCCCGAGAAGGAATGAAACATGAGAGGGAATGAAACACGTGGGAAACCAGTGTCTCTTTGGTTCGGCATGTGGCAACCCTGTCAAGCCGACAGCGGTGATTGCTTACCTGCTGATGCAGCTGTCAGACAATGCTCCACAATTTCGGGGCAAGCATATGCACTGTCTGCTCGACAACAAAATTAGAACTGAGGCACTTGACATCCGCCAAGCTGCAGCAGGGAAGCCCCGACAACACGCACAGGCCAGCAAGCACTGAAGGTTGGAATGGGCCCATAGTCGAACACAATACGACCTGCAAACTACCTCTGTAGTTTATAAACATTATACCGGTGCAGTGGATCAGTGTCATATTTTTCTCGGTAACGAAAATACCCATAAAAGGGGATAAGCTTCAATGTGTGATCGGTCCCTGATACTCCCGGCTGCGACAAGGATTGCAAGCCCGCAACTTGCCAGTCTCCGTGGTGAACTCAAACGGCATTTCCCGAAGTTTTCCGATGATGTCCGCCGCCTGCAGGAGAGGATGTTGGAGTCTTTGAGGTTCGGGGCGGCACCTGTGCATGTGCATGCACATATATACATATTATATATATATATATATATATACATATATATATATATATATATATATACATACGTGTGCATGCAGGTATGTATCCATCAGTATATGTGTGCGAACACCACGCACGATTTTCTCTCTCTCCCTGTCTCTCTTTCTTTCTTTCGCTAGGGCTGTGGTGTAGGGGTTTTACCCCCTACACCGCGCGTCAGCGCTCTCTTTGCTTTGCTTTGCTCCGGGGTGTCGGCCGCAAGCAGTCCTTGCGACCCGCGAAACCGCGCGACCCTATCCAACATATTGTTCGGATGGGCTTGGCTGTACATGGAGTAGATTGTCAGAGCGGGTGCCCGCGCGGACTCTCTCTCTTTCTCTCTCTCTCTCTCTCTCTCTCTTTCTGCCGGGCGTAGGGGTCACTGTCGTGACCCTCAGGCTTTCAGCCCTCTCTCTCTCTCTCTCTCTCTCTCTCTCGCTGGCGCTTCTTTCTATACTTTCGTATTTAGGTGCACATGATAGCAGATCTTGTTTCGCATGGCCCTGCGCGGAAACAGCAAGGCTCCAATTCGAACCCTTCGGCCCTTCGGCGAGCAGCCGGCATCGGCCTTCAAACAACGAAACCGAACCTGCCCCTATTCGACTCAATCCCATCATTTCGGCGCTTGCCCGCCTCTTTGGTAAGAGGTTGTAATCCGGCCTCTAGGTCCTTGATAGTGGTCCGTAACCTTCATGGCTGCCAGTTTAAGGAAGCAGGTTCGGGGCTTGAGGCTCCATTCGGGGGTAATGGCTGGCTTCTCTATCTGACGGCAGCAGCAACGGCAGCATCGACATGACATCAGCATTGTAATACACCATCACCACCTCCACCACCACGACCCCCGCCAAGACCACCACCATGACCACCGCCTCGAACACAATCCCCACTACAACCATCCCCAGTTCCAGCCTCGCCCCAGCACCCAGCAGCGCAGCCAGCATAACAATTAGAAACCGCATCCTGAGATAGCGATCCAATCTGGCCTGTCGGTGTCCTCCTGTAATGTGGCAATCTTCATCGCCATGTTCTCAGGGTTGCCCTCCGCCAGCAAATTACCTTGAGGACAGTGAGTTTCAGCTTTAAAAATTCGCCACAGACCGGACCGGACCCGCCTTGATCCTGCCAAGCAGGCTAATACATTTTGCTGGGTGCGCCGGTGCCCGGAAATTCAAGGCACTTTACAAAGCACGATGATACCAAGAGAATACCCAGCTGTATGTACTATAGCACTTGAACTTGAAAGCTACCCGCCCAAGACCATCATCACGAGAAGGCTCTCCGTGGCATTCAACGTCTGGCAGGGAAAATCCTACTTTTCAGCCAGTGATCGAACACGCACTTGCTTGAAGAGCTTTGCCCGGACTCGTTCGACCATGCCGATCTCCTGCGAGACGGCTACACGAGCATCACTTGACCAGCTGCAGGTCACTCTAAAGACCCTATCCCTCTCCTTTGAGATCTCAGTAGCGGACATGTGGGGCAGGCTAGGCACTGGGCACTGCTCTTGGAAGCGGTGTATCCAAACAACTCATTACCACCCCAACCTGTGCATTGACCCGCTGAATGTCACGCAATCGCCCAAGCTGTGCCATCATCCGCTTCACCTTCCGGGAGAGAGAAGGTTAAGGACCTCGAGTTTGTGTCAGGGCGTCGGGTGCAGAACGGAACCACTGTCTCTGTGGGCTTCAAGGTGCGCTTCATTTCAGCCCGGTGGAACAAAACCTGCTTTGCCCTCTCAAGCTGGAATTTCCCGTGCCCGAACCCCAACTGAACAGTGAACTGTACGTGTCCTTCACTCCTCAAGAACTCCCGAGGCTGCACAAACGTGACAAATACAACATAGCGCGACGTGAATGTGCGTAGTAGCTGCTCTCAGTGCAGCTTTCCTGTGGGCTTGGTGTCGCTGTAAATCTCGGCGAGCAAGCTGTGGTTGACGTTGGTGTTGATGCTGGTGCTGCTGGTGCAGTTGCGGCTGCAGTTGCGGCTGCGGTTGCGCTTGCGCTTGCTGTTGTGGTGGCAGTTGCGGTCGATGGTGGTGGTGGTGTTGTTTATAATTCCACTTGCGTTTAAGTCTATGATTTGTGTTATCCTGACTATGGTGAGCACTGTTATTAACACAACGCAAGAGATTGTTGTTTTTATTACTACTACAAGTAATACCGTGTCTGGAATACTACCACAACTATGACTACAGCTAATCAGCTAATACTGTGGCCATCACTATCACTTCTGCTTTCAAATTACTACTAGTAGTCATCTTTTTTCTGTTATTATGTATTAATATGAATAATGTCGTTCTTGCTGTTGTTGGCCCGCGGTTGTTGCCGTGGTTGGTGGTGTTATTGTTGCTGCTGCAGCTGTTGCTGGTGCTGGTGCTGGTGCTGCTGTTGTTGTTGTTGGTGGTGGTGGTGGTGGTGCTGGTGCTGGTGTTGTTGGTGGTGTTTTTGTTGTTGGTACTGTTGTTGTTGCTGCTGTTGGCTGTTATTTATTATTCCTATTGATATTGTTCCTGTTCTTTGTCTTGTTGTTGTTCCGTGTTCTTGTTCTGTGCAGTGTAGTAGTGTTATTGCTCTTCTTGGTTTTCTTGTTAGTGTTGTGCTTGGTGTGCTTGTCGTTGTTATTTTCTTGCTGTTCTTGGTATTGTTCTTGTTACTGGTCTTGTTATTGTTCTTGTTGTGGCTGTTGTTGCTGCTGCTGATGCTGTTGCTGCTGCTGTGGGGTTGCTGCCGGCACTGGTGCTGGTGCTGGTGCTGATGCTGGTGCTGGTGCTTCGTGCTGCTGGTGCAGATGCGGTTGCTGCTGGCACTTGTGCTGGTGCTCGCGCTGATGCTGTTGCTGCTGCTGCTGCTGCTGCTGCTGTCGCTGTTGCGCTTGTTGTCTTGGTGGTGGCGGTGGCGGTGGCGGTGGCGGTGGCGGTGGCGGTGGCGGTGGCGGTGGCGGTGGCGGTGGCGGTGGCGGTGGCGGCGGCGGCGGTGGTGGTGGTGGTGGTGGTGGTGGCGGCGGCGGCCGAGGTGGCGGTGGCGGCAGTGGTGGCGGTGATGGCGGTGGTGGAAAGGTGGTGTATGGTGTTTTCTGTTGACGTTGGTGTTGGTGTCGACATGAGCGCTGCGAGTGTGGATATGGATGTTGCTGTCGCTGTCGGTGCTGGTAGTGGTGCTGCTGATGCTGGTTCTGATGGTGCTGGTGGTCCTGGTCGATGGCAGTGGCGGCGTGCAGGTGGCGGTGGGCGTAGCGGTGGTCGGCGGTGGTGTGGTTGGAATTGCTGCTGCTACTGCTGCTGTGTCGTTGTCTCCGCCCGGCTTGTTGAGCATGTTGCACTTTCGTGGCTCGATACTACTGCTTGGAAGAGCTTCACGACCATTTTGAGTATGCAGTATGCTGTATGCTTGTTCTCCAGGTGCTAGAACAGGCTGTGGGCTTTGTGCTGTCCATTGCAGGGTTCTCATTTAAGCCTCAGAGTTTCGAGATCCAAGTCACCCCTATCGCAAGCAGAGGCGAAGCCATAGTTCAGTGGTAGAAACCAGCCACCCAATCCCAACCCAAAAACCCTAGAGACCCCGGAAGCCTTTGCAACCAACTAGACCCCAAAGCCTCAGACTGCGCCCAATTTCTTAACCCCTAGCAGCCCCCTCAACCCAAAAAAACACCCCTGCTATAGCCAAAACCCTGAACGAAGCCCCAGGTCCCGGCCTGGTTGATCTGTGCCTTCAGATGCGTCCGGAGATCGTCGGAATCCCGTGTGGGTGTGTCCCGAATGGCCAGGAGCTGACTCTGCGTCTCCGACCTGGGAGGCGCGCATGTGCCGAGTTTTCCAGGGTTCGGGTTCGATCAGGTGAGGGTCTACGAACCGAAGCTTTACAAGACAGAAATAACGCGGGACTTGTTGTGGTGGATGCAGACGGTTACAGTTGTCAGGGCTATCGCCGCTGAAGCCCTTCTAGACTACGCTCAAAAAAACACGCACAACCGTCCAAACCCGGAACCCTAAACATCCCCGAAGGCCCTGAAACTCGAAATCCAATCTGCAACTTCTCGCTGAACTTGCCGATGTCTCTCTCGTAAGAGCTGATCTTCGGCCAAACCTTCTCGGACCTCGGCGTCGAGATTTCATGGGTCTTCCACAAGATGCAGGATTAGTAAAATCGACTCTGTGGGTGCAGCTGTACGGGTTCTCGTCGGGCATTGAAGGGCGTAGGCATCATTTTTAAGGGGGCGATAAGACCAAGTCAAACCGGAGCCAGCCGAATCCCAGCCCACACAACGGATGTTCCAGGACGCAGAGTGAGTCATGGGATTTACCCGCCCTCCATGCGTCTGGCCTTCAAACGCCCCTTCTTTGAAGCTCATCTCTGATCCGGGTTCAGCTGATGAACACCCTTGTTCCGCACAGGGCAGCCGCCCTAAACCCCAAACGCCAACCTTGTTGGTCTGCTGCCACGCCAGTCAAGGGCCTAATTAGTGTGCCAGCAGCGAGTTCCTGCCTTAAGCAGCGGCCTCGACTTCAAAAACAGATCGAATGTCCAGCATAAACATGCAGCTTCACATGCCCTTTGCTGCACGATCCAACATTGCAACACAGACGCACGCAAGAAAGAAGAACACTCTAGAAGCCATGCCTTTAGTCTGAAGATCCACACAGCCCAAAACCGCCACCCTTAAACCCTGAACTCTAAACTGTGAACTCCGAACATTTTCAGCCTCAAGTACCTGACAGTCTTCACACAAATCATGTCCTTACGTTGTACTATAGACTTGTCCCGCGAAGCCTTGTTCGAATCAGCAATGCGTCACTCATCATCCCTCTTTGCCTTCAGCAACCGCTAAACTCAAAAACGTCAAAGCGCTGAATCCTAGAATTCCAAAGCCTTGAAGTCTAAAACCAAAACATGGCTGAACATCTGCCACGATACTCTTTTCTGAGCCTCTGCACGAGATCTGCCAAACTCCTGGCTTCTGGGCCCTCCTCATCCAGGACCTGCTGGTGGGCTTCAGGAGGACGGCCAAAATGCTCTGCGCCACATACTTACGATCCAAAGTCCCCAAGTGCTAGTACTTCCGTGATTCAGAGATTCGGAGGCCACGAAGTGGTCCATTGGTTCATGTATCGGAATTACACCGCATGCGACGTTCCGTGGGACAAGGCCCGACAAATGAGAGTGCTGTGCTGCAGGCCCAACCATGGTAAATTCAGTCGGCTGCTCCAGTTCAAGGGTAGCACGCATGAGTCATCCCGCCACTTCGGTAACGACTCATTCGGCTATGCACTGTGCCGTGACAGAAAGTCCAGGCACAGGGTTGACAGGTACATGCCGAGGTTTTCCGGGCGCTTTGATGATGTCGTTGCCTACTTACACAAGCCACTCTGACCCATGATGATGCCAACAAGTCGCCCCTGCAACAAGGAAACCCTAGTGCCTCACATCCTAATAAGGGGCTTGTTACGTACGCGAATACATTACACTGACTACATTGCGCTACACTACACTACATTGCGCTGCATTACACTACATTGCACTGCGATGCACCGTGTTATACTATCTCATGGCTAGATTCAGCACAGCAGACTATACCATAAAATTTTTTTGCAGAGTATACCATAGCAGCAGCATGGCATTAGCATGGCAACAGCACGGCTTGAGCAGAGCCTAGAATGCCACAGCACAGCAAAGCATGGCAAGTACATTCTGCATCACGCTCAGCATAAGGCATAAGCAATTAATTGCCTGGATTACATTTCCTGACCTTACCTGACTAACTTACCCTGAATAACTTCTCATGGCATCACATGTCGTAGGTGAAGATATGATATAAACATGTGATATATTTACACGTAGAATTGTAGAGAGAGACAGAGAGAGAAAGAGAGTAAAACAAAGAAGCCCCAGCACAAACATGACGGGGAGGTTTGAGAGCGAGCCGCCAAGACACTCTTCATCAGGGAGCTGCTTGACAAGTCTGCGTGCGTACTGCGTAAAACCGCAGCCGGACTTTCGACTTGCATGGCCGACTGTCTGGCGTCTGCTTTTGAGTTGAAGATGTACATAGGGGCCTCATGAGTCGGTACCAAGCATTCGTGCAAAATCTCCGGCATACCACGAGCTCCAAGCACCTCCCCCCTCTCCAGGGCATCGTTGACCTTGTCGATGACCGTGGTGACCTGCCCATGGCAAGCTCTTCAACACTTCAACGTCAATCCAACCCCAGAAAGAGAATCGCACCCAACACCGCCCAGCCGAACCCAAAACTCTGAAACCAAGCCCTGAACCTCAGGCTGAACTTCAAGCTGACAGGGATCCGCGACCTATTTCCAGATAGTTTCATGGCAGCACAATCACCCTAGTTTCATGGGGCCGCTGGGATTTTTGGAGACGTGGTTGTGCGAATTCATCAGGCTCCTGCCTAGACACCGCTTGAGGGCGGAGGGCGGGTTTGGGTAAGGGAGGCCTGACATGAAGGATTTCAGTGAAACGGTCTGGTCTGCCGCGCTCCGGCGTCTTACACAAAGGACTGAAATTGTAGTGGTCTTCAAGAGAAACTCGGGTCGACTTTGGGGTCCCAGAGTCGAAGAGTTGCAGATCGGGGTTGGAATTCTCCTCCCAATGTGGAAGGCCGGTCTTGAGTGGGTCTAGGGACCAGTCGGTTTCGGGTGAAGTCTAAAGGGGCGTCGGTATGCAAGTACGGCTCCGCAAATGTGGGAGTCTAAGTTGTTTTCAGTGTTTCGAGGGCTAAAGAGTCTCGAGATTGTCCCCCAAGCCTGAACCCACATCAACGCAAGGCTCGCTCGAAACTTCCGAACCCTGCACCTGGACCAAGCCCACAAGCCAACAAAGATTCGGATTCTGGGAAACGGGTCAGTATTCCTCCAAATTTCAGAACTCAATGTGGGGTGGGCTCCCTTCTGTTTCCTCCTAAACGCTCACAGGACGCCTCGCCCCGCTTTTCAATCAGGGACATTGTGCGCTTCAGGGAGCCCACATCCTGCTCAACAGGTCGAAAACTATACCTGGGTTTATCGCCTGCAGAGGTGCAGTTCCAACGAGAATACCTGCGGGCTAAGGGAGGTTTGTGCAGAAAAGCTGTAGAGGGACTACAAGCAAGCACGTGTAATGTCGCCCATCTTCGAAACCCGTCTCTACCGGGCACAATACAGTAAAGGGGCTTTGCACGTTATATCTCACGTCCAGTCATCATGCAAAGGCACCCTTGTACATGTGGGAGACCTGCGAGTCTCACGGTCCCAAGGGCCTTGCGGCATACTGCATATTCCACAGCATACGTTCGTAGCAGCAAACATGTCTTATCTCTTGAAGCTCCCGCACTGCAGCGCGACATACGGTGCTGGGCATTATGGGTCCCCTTCCTGGAACATGAATCTTGTACTGTTTGTCTTCCAAGTGCAAGTTTGCGGCTTGCACTGCTGCCCTGCTGGGGCACAACACTGCCGGGACGCGAAGGAACATGCAAAGGCTGCGACTCGACTCGCCTCGTGCTTGCTTTGACACGCACACGTCGCTAGAAAAGTCTTCAAAAGTGAGCTCCGCCGGGAAAGCCCAGCGCGTCCCAGCGCGCCTTGATGTTGTGGTAGTGCTTGTGTCTGAGACCAGCCTTGGCAAAAAAAATCGCCCCTGGAGGTTTCCCATACCAATACTGGTACCATGCTCTGGTCTCCGCCTTGTCCTGCTCGAACCTTCGCGCAGCTTCGGGCTTGGAGCATGATCCTTTCTGCCGCCGGATGTCGATCTTGTAGTCAACTTCCCGAATCTTGCCCGTCATGTTCACAACTTCCTTCAGTCGTGGCTTTATGCTTATTGAAGCTTGGGTCCCTCTCCAAACCTGCAAAGATGCAACAATAGGGGGTTAAGATGCTCTAGGGATACTGTACTTACTTGGGGTTGTGGACTGGTTGTGGTGTCCTGGGTTCAATGCGTCGTTTCTTTCCTGGCCTCGCAACTGACCCTACTGTGCTCTGCTGCATGCAGCCCATTATGCTTCCTCGTAAAATCCTATGCATCAGAGCTTGTGGGGCTTTTCGTCAAAAGACCTGCGGCCCCTTCAGCCATCCTCGTGAGGCCTGCGGGCATTGAGCAGCAGTTGAAGGCTTGATGCGAACAAAAAAAACGCATTAGCAGTGGCAGTAGCAGCAGCAGCAGTAGTAGTAGCAGTAGTAGTCGAGGTCGTCGTCATAGTGGTATTCGTAGTTGCTGCTGCTGCTGTCACTGTTGCTGTCGTAATTGTGGCGTAACTGTAGTCAAAGTTGTGCTTGTTGCAGTAGGGGCAGGCATCGGGATGATGTGCTTCTGGTGTAAGAAAATCTGGCCTTCTTGGTTGAGCTTGATGCTCGCAATTTGTTGTCTGGTTCTCCAGGTCAAGACGTCGACTAGTGGGAGACGTTGGTTCGGTCCAATGCATTTAAGGTTTGTGACTAAGAAGTTGCACTGATCTCGACTTCTCGCTAAGCACGCCTCCTCATGCGCAAAGAAGCCACCATTCGCATTGAGCTTGGCAGTGAACTGCTCCTCGAAGCTGTGGTTTTTTGCGGCCCATCGGAAACCCCAAAGTGATGGTTGTTTGGTCCTCTGGTCGTTGACACTTGTAATCTTATCGAAAAGCTTTTGTGCCAATGCAGCACCGTCCTCTCTGAGCACACATTCTTGCAAGCTCTAGACTTTCTACCGTAGACAGATATTACACAGGCCGGGGCTTTAACTTGGGGTAACTAGAGAGGCATGCGTTATGCCTGGCTGTGGAAGCTGCGGTAGAGCTAAAACAACATCAAGAGTCATCTGAATGTGGCTTCGCGTTCGATTCTCGATACGCCTGTCGACTGGAGTTCTGAAGCCACTGCGGATATGGGACAGAGCTGCATTCTAGCTTGTGCCCGTAAGGCTTGCCATTTTGAAAGGCCTGTGCTTTCGGGTCTTGGCTTCAGGGTCTTCATGATCATGTCAAACTTTCAAGGCCTGTGGGATGCGGATTGGAAAGGGGTTATCTAAACGCGAAAAGCACCGACCTGTCAAACACGTCTAGCGAGAGTATCTTTGTTCGACCAACGGTTCGCGGCTACGACATAGGGGCAATATGTAAGAATTGTGTTTATTTGCTGAGGCTCCGATGCCTCAAGGCTAGACCTCCCGACATTCCCTCATAGGCCTCCTGCGCAACGTACTCTGCACGAGCCTCCTGCAAGGAGTTTAGATTTAGATCCGCTGCGGGCTTAGTGCTTAGCTACAACACCTTCCATGGATCCTGGCCCGTTTACGGGATTTACGGGTGAACCAGTTAGTTTGAAAGGAGAATCTGCTGTGTGTGTGTATTTACTCCCTGGTTGAAGCTGCGAACATACGCTG